AACAAGACCGATATATATGCTGCCTTCAGGAAACTCATCTCAGATCAAAAGATACACACAGACTAAAAGTAAAGGGATAGAAAAAATATTTCATGCAAATGGAAAGAAAAAAGCTGGGGTAGCAATACTTATATGTTACAAAATAGACTTTTAAACCAAGGCAATAGTAAGAGATAAAGAAGGACACTACATAATTATAAAGGAAACAATCCAACCAGGCAATATAACCCTAGTAAACATTTACACAGCCAACATAGGAGCACCTAAAGATGTAAAGTAAATTTTCATGGAGATAATGGGGAAGATAGACAGAAATACAGTTATGGTTAGGGATTTTAACACCCCATTCATTTCAATGTATAGAACTTACAGATGGAAAATCAACAAGGAAACAGCAACCTTAAATTCACACTAGATCAAATGGACTTAACTGATAATCTTTAGAGCATTTCATCCCAAAGCAGCAGAATATACATATTTTTCAAATGCACATGGAACATTTTTGAGGATAGGCCACATGTTAGGGCACAAAACAAGTCTCAATAAATTTAAGAAGATTGAAATCATATCAAAACCTTCTGTGACCACAATACTATGAAACTAGAAATCAATCACAAGAACACTGAAAAACATGCAAAGACATAGAAGCTAAATAACATGTTATTAAACAATGAATGGGTCAACATTGACATCAAGAAAGAAATCAAAAGATACCTTGAAACAAATTAAAATGAGGATGCAACAATCCAAAACCTGTGGGACACTGGGAAAGCAATCCTAAGAAAGAAATTCATAGCATTACAAGCCTATCTCTAAAAAGAAAAATCTCAAATGAACAATCTAACTTCACACTTAAAGAAACTTGAAAAGAAACAACAAACAAAGCCCAATGTAAATAGAAGGAAGGAAATAATTGAGATCAAAGCAGAAATAAGTAAAATAGAGTCTAAAAAATATACAAAAGATCAATGAACCCAAGAGCTGGTTCTTTGCAAAGCAAACATGACTGACAAACCTTTAACCAGATTCATCAAGAAAAAATGGAAAGGACCCAAATAAATAAAATCAGAAATGAAAGAGGAGAAATAACAATTGACACCAAAAAATACAAAAGATTATTAAAAAATATTATGAACAACTATGTGCCAACAAACTGAACAACCTGAGCAAAATGGATAAATTCCTACAAACATACAATTTTCCACAACTAAATCAGGAAAATCAGAGAATCTGAATAGAAAGATTATACCTCGTGAAATTGAAGCAGTAATCAAAGAATTCCCAACAAACAAAACCTTTGGACCAGATGGCTTCACAGGTGAATTTCACCAAACATCTGGAGGAGAACTAACACCCCTCCTTCTCAAACTATTTTATAAAATTCAAGAGGAGTGAAGGCTCCCAAACTCTTTTTACAAAGCCAGCATTATCCTAATTCCAAAACCAGATAAAGACACTACAAAGAAAGAAAATTATAGGCCAATATTCCTGAAGACTATAGATGCTAAAATCCTCAACAAAATATTAGCAAACTGAATACAACAATGCATCAAATAAAAACTACACCATGATGATTAGAATTTATGCCAGGAATGCAAAGTTGGTACAACATTCACAAATCAATAAATGTGATTCACCAAATAAACAATAAAAACCACATGATCATATCAACAGATTTAGAGAAAGCATTTGATCAAATCCAGCACCCATTCATGATAAAAACTCTCAGCAAAGTGGGAATAGAGGGAACATACCTACACATAATAAAGGCAATATATGTCAAAATCGCTGCCATCATCATACTCAATGTGCAAAAACTATAAGTATTCCCCTTAACATTGGAAACAAGACAGAGATATCACTTTCTCCTCTCTTATTCAACATAGTACTGGAACTCCTAGCCAAAGCAGTCAGACAAGAAGAAGAAATAAAAGGCATTCAAGTTGGTAAGGAAGAAGTAAAAGTGTCTTTATTTGAAGATGACATAATACAGTAAATAGAGAATCCTGAAGATTCCACCAAAAAACTTGTAGAACTGATAAATGAATTCAGCAAAGTATCAGTATACAAAATTAATATCTAGAAATCAGTTGCATTTTTATATGCCAAAAATGAACTGACAGAAAGGGAAATTAAGAAAATAATCCCATTCACAATTGCTATAAAATACCTAGGAATAAACCTAACCAAGGATGTAAAAGATCTGTACTGTAAAAATCATAAGACACTGAAGAAATAAATGGAAGAAGACACAAGTAAGTGGAAGCATATACTATTTTCATGGATCGGAAGAATTAACATCATTAAAATGTCCATACTACCCAAAGCAATCTATACATTCAATGCTATTTTTATCTAGATTCCAATGATGTATACCACAGGACTAGAACAAATATTTCAAAAATGTATATGGAACCATAAAAGGACCCTCATAGCAACAGCAATCCTGAGGGAGAAGAACAAAGTTGGAGGACTCATGCTACCTAATGTCTAACTATACTATAAATACACCAAAAAAATACAAAACAGCATGGTACTTGCATAAAAACAGACACATAGATCAATGGAACTGAGTAGACAAACCCAAACCCTTGTAGTCAATTAATAATTGATAGAGAAAGCAAGCACATATAATGGGCTAAAGATAGTCTATTCAATAAGTGGTGTTGGCAAAATTGGACAGATACATGCAGAAAAATGAAACTAGACCACCTTCTTACACCAACACAAGAATAAATTCAAAATGGATCAAATACTGAAATGTTAGACTCAAAACCATAAAAATCCTAGAAGAAAATATAGGCAGCAAAATCCTAGACATTGCCAGCAGAAATTTTTTATTAGATATGTCTCCCCAGGCAAGGGAAACAAAAGAAAAAAATAAAAAATGGGACTACAAAAAAAAGTTTTGCACAGAAAAGGAAATCAACAACAAAATAAAAAGACAACCCACAGAATTAATATCCAAAATTTATAAAGAACTTACAAAACTCAACGCCAAAAAATAAAAACCCACTTAAAAATGGGCAAAAGACCTAAATAGGTACTTCGCCAAAGAGGAAATACAGATGGTCAATAGACATATGAAAATATGCTGAACATCACTAATCATAAGAGAAATGCAAATTAAAGATAAAATGACCATATGATCTTACTTTTAACAGGAACCTAAACAATAAAACAAACAAACAATCAAAATATAACCAAAGACACTGAAATAGAGAACAGGCTGACAGTGACCAGAGGGGAGAAGGGAGGGAATTTCAGGGGGAAAAGGGGAAGGGATTACAGGAACAGGTATAAAGGACACATGGACAAAAACTAGTGGGCAGTGGAAATGGGAGGGAGGTGGGGAGGGCTGAGTGGGTGGGCTGAGGTGGGAGTAAAAGACAGAAAACTGTACTTGAACAACAATTAAAATAAAATTTATAAAAATAAAGTTAAAAAATTAATAAAATTTGACTGAGAAAAAAAAACACAATGAGCCCTGGCTGGTGTGGCTCAGTGGACTGAGTAAATGAAAGCACCAGCTTTGTGCCATTTTAAACACATGTGTGCATGCATACACACACGCACACACACACAACTCTCTATTCCAAGTTTCTGCTTCCAATAACAAATCATAACAAGCCTAAATAGTTCATGTACAATTGAACATCCAACTTCTTCAAACAGTCTAGCCCTGGCAGGTGTGGCTCAGTGGACTGACTGCTGGCCTGCGAACCAAAGGGTTGCCATGTTGATTCCCAGTCAGGGCACATGCCTGGGTTGTGGGCCAGGTCCCCAGAAGGGGGTGCATGAGAGACAACCACACATTGATGTTTCTCTGCTCTTTCTTCCTCCTTTCCCCTCTCTAAAAATAAATAAAATATTAAAAAGCTGCAATGAGATATCTTCTCAGACCTGTCAGAATGGCTATCAATAGATCAACAATGAAAAAGTGCTGGTGAGGATATGGAGAGAGGGGAACCCTTTTGCACTCTTGGTGGGAATGCAGGCTAGTGCAGACACTATGGAAAGCAGTATGAAGACTCCTCAAAAAAGTAAAAATGGATCTGCCTTTTGAACCAGTGATCCCACTTCTGGGAATATATCCAAAGGAACACAAAACACTAATTTGAAGAACATAAGCACCCCTATGTTCATTGCAGCATTATTTACAATTGCCAAGATCTGGAAGCAGCCCAAGTGTACATCAGTAGATGAGTGGATAAAACAACTATTGGACATTTACATAACAGAATATTACTCACCCATAAATAAGAAGAAAGTTTTTCCCTTTGTAACAATATGGATGGACCTGGAGAACATTATGGTAAGTGAAATAAACCAGTCAGACAAAGACCAATACCATTTGATATCACTCATATGTGGAATCTAATGAGCAAACTGAACTAACCAGGAAAATGGGGACAGACCCATGGATGAAGAGCAGGATGACAGCTAGTGGCAGGGAGAGGTGGAGGGATTGAGCAAAATGGAGAAAGGACTCATAGGCATGGACAACAGCGTAGTGAATGGTGGGGGTATGGAGTATAAGGGGACTAAATGGTAATGGGAAAAATACAGTCAAGATTAAATCAAGAAAATAAAATAATAAAATGTATAGATCTAAAAATTGAGCATAAATAAAATAAATATACTAGGCATATTAAAAAAAAAAACCCTCTTTGGCTCATCTGAAACTGCCAGGGTCCTAAGTGCATAGAGGGTATGTGGATACAATTGCTCTTGATGTTCTTCTTCCTCACACAGGTGGTGAGAGCAAGCACTGACATTCATGAGCATTTTAACTTCAGAGTACTTTGTACCTTTATTCAGTTAATAAAATAGGTTCTGTTGAAGAAAGACACTCTTGGGGCCTACGTGCAAGTAGAAAAAGGAACCCATGAAGAACTGGGGAGTGATGTGCTGCCCTAGTGGGTGAGGGTAGAAAATGTTTTGGAGATTGTAGTATCCTGAGCCATGTTTTTAAACCTCAGCCAAGAGAAAGCATTCACTGTGAATTCCCTCCACCAGTCAAATCTGATTGAGAGCTTTCTGAATGCTTTGGCTGTCTTGTCCTGTGGTCAGGACGACCTCTACAAGTAAGCAATGGCTCCAAAGAGAATTTGTAATTTGATTAGCTATATGCACCCAAAAGTCTTCATCTGAGGAAGTTACTCCAGTATGAGCCTCCAGCATGCGGAAAATATTCCATCACAGTTAACAGCACACGCAGGGGAGATGGGAGTGTCTTAGAAAAGGTCGGGTAGCTATTTTTATTGTCTAATTCATAATGAATAAAAGCCCAAGAGAAAAATCTCTTTGTCCCAGATGTTTCTGAGGAGCACAGCTACCTCTAAGTAGCCAGGGTTGGCAGGACTAATAAATAAATCCTGAGGCCATCTGGTGGTGAGAAATGAAACTGGAGAGGGCCCTGGAAGTCTGGCAGTCTTTTTAAATTTTGTTTTATTGTTCAAGTTCAGAATCACATATTCAAAAGAGAAACTGAGGTCAAATGATGGTTCTCTGTTGATCTGTTCAGTGGCTAATCAAGCAGCAACCTCAGACAGGGACTTTGAGAACAACTGATCACAAGCCCAAGGAGCTTGAATGATGTAAGGTCATAGTGTCCTCACTGTCTTCTGGTATCCTTAAATCAGAGCATAAGTTGAGAGAAAGTCCAGGGTCTTGAGATCATTGCCTTCCTGTTTCCAGCAAGCTAACAAAGAGATACTGGAAGCTTACTGTGCTTTCCTGAGATAAACAGTGGTGTTTCCAAATGCCTGTCAATTAGAGAGAAAAATGTGTTACTCACATTATTCCTGAAGCTTCTGGAAATATTGGTTATGAAAGAATAGCAAAGGAATAGCTGTCTACAAACTACAAGTTTCTTCCCCCTCCCCCTGACTGAAACTCTTCCTTTTTTGTTCTTTCTGTATTCCTAATGTTAGTAGATTGCACTTCCATCCACAGTTGACCCATTTCAATTGCTCTAGTCAGAAATCTGGTAGCCAGCTGAGATTCTTCCTTCTTCTCTGTCCCCACATTCAATTCATCACCAAGTCCTGTTGATTTAACTTCAGTAATAACTGCCCACCCCATGTGTTGTGAGAATTACAAGGGTTAACATACAGCAAGCACCTGTAACAGGGTTGGAATGTTGTTAGCATTATATTAGTGATATTATAATTATTATAGTTTTAAATGTGTCCACCTTTCTCTACCATACTGCCCTCTTGGAGAGAGACAAAAATGTAAACAGATAATAGCAATGCAGAGTAAAAAGTGCTATTATTGAAGTAGCCCAGACAGAGGAAGAAAAGAAGGTCACCCAAACCCAGATTTCAGGGTAAGGGAAGAGAGAGGAGAAGGGACATCTCTGTAGTTGAGTACTGAAAGAAAAGTCTAGGACAATGGGGTTGCAGTGGAGCAAGAGGTGTTGCTAAGAGCTTTCTAGACAGAAAGAACAGCATGAAGTAAGATATAGAGGATTTTTTAAAGGATATGTTAGATTTTAAGAATTACAAGCCATTTTTTCTGCTTGGGTCTATATTATTAGCCAAGGTAGGGGCCAGATCACCAAGAGTCATATATACCACTCATTGGTTTTTAGATTTAATCCTGTAGAAAATGGATTTAAGCACAGAAATGGTATCACATTTCTAGTTTTAAGAGATGACTCAAGTAGCACTATAGATAATGGGTTGGAAGAAGGCAAGACTGGTTTGGCCAGTTTGAAACCAGCAAGAGGTTTGTGTGTTTGTGTGTGTGTGTCTTTGTTTTCTGTTTGATTTTTTAAAGTAATTTTTCATTTTTATTATTTTTTATCTCTCAATTCCTTTTGCTTCTCTTTCCTTCTTTCTTATATTATTCCTTCTTCCTTTCTTTCCAATTTTATCTCTTCTACCTTCCTTAGTCTGCTTTTTTTTTGAAATACCCACAAATGACACCAAAAAACCAGGAACTGTGAAAAGACCAGAGTTGGACCCAAAGAGGAAGAATCCCAACAGCTGAGACAGAGAGACAAATTTCACTTTGATATTACAGAGAACCTGTAAGATATGGCATATTTTATTATTATTATTACATTTTTTATTTGAATAATATTTTTGTATTCCTCATCTTTCTGTTTAGTCTTCTTTGCTTGGCTGGTTATATTGTATCATTTGACAGTTTTCCCCTGTCTTCTCATTTATAATGTATTGCTAATTTATTGTCCTTCACCTGTGTTCCAATTAGCAGACTACTAAAAGTCCAATATTCCCTATTCTTGGTATCTAGATCTCATAGATTCTATCATATGATTGTTGCTCTAATATTATTGTAAATAATAGCTATTCCATACTATTGTAAATACTACACAACACCCCTCCCAGATGTCAGCCAACTTCACAGTTTCCTGAACTCTATTACTGTAGTGGTAAACTCTATCCTCTCACACACTACACCTATTTACTACTCTTTACTCTCACCTTACCTCATAATCTGACCTCCCACAACCTCACTGCTTTCTAGATCCAACTCACAATCCATCCCTTTCCAACAAGAGACTTATCTACTTTCTATCCTTTCTAAAAAGTGGCTAGTTGGGTGGAATATATGGTTAACACTATACATAAATAAAGGATCACCTACCTCTTCCTTAGTGGCTGCTACTGTAAATAGCATAGAATACTCTCCTCTGTCTTAAACCACTCTGCCTCACGCCTCCAGCTGATCACAAAAAACAGTAGGTGGAAGCAGTGAACACCAGGATACCTGAAGGAGAATGCACCACTGAATCTCACAGGTATTCTACCACAGAAGTTCACACTATAAATGCAGGAAGTCAGAACATATCAATTTAAGAACCTAAGGCTAAAAAGAAGAGTCTCGCAAACAATGGGAAGACAAAAAAACAATGCCAAATGAAAGGAAAGAAGAAAACATCAGAAAGAATGCTAAATGAAATAGAGGCAACTCAACTGTAAGATATTGAATTCAAAGCAATGGTTATCAGGAAGCTCCATGAGCTGACAGCAAATTACTAGAAACTACAGAGGAACTACCATGAACTCACTGAAAATTATATCAACATGAAAAGGGAAATAGAAACTATCAGCAAGGGACAAGATGAAGTGAAGAATACAATTTCTGAACTGAAGAACACAGTGGAAAGAATCAAAAGCAGGATCAATAGAGCAGAAGATCGGATCAGCAAGCTGGAGGAAAAAGTAAAAAAAAATCTAGAAAGAGCAAGAAAAGGAAAAGAGGCTCAGAAAGCATGAGAGGGATTAAGAGAAATACAAGACAATATAAAACATAATAATATCCAAACAATAGGGATACCAGAAGAAGAGGAAGAAGAGCAAGGAATAGAAAACCTATTTGAAAAAGTAATGATAAAAAACTGCCCTAATTTGATGAGAGAAAAAGTTACACACATCCAGGAAACACAGACAGTCCCAATCAAGAGGAACCCAAAGAGGCCCACTTCAAGACACATCATAATTAAAATGCAAAATACAAAGACAAAAAGAGAATCTTAAAGGCAGAAAAGGGGAAAAAAGGAAGTAACACACAAGCGAGCTCCAATAAGGTTAGCTGCTGACTTCTCAGTGGAAACGCTCCAAGCCAGAAGAGAATGGCAAAAAAAATTCCAAGTAATGAGAACCAGAGGACTAAAAACAAGGCTACTTTACCCAACAAGGCTTTCAATCAAGATAGAAAATCAAATAAGAAGCTTCAGAGACAAAACAAGGGTAAAAGAATACACCTCAACCAAACCAGCTCCGTAAAATATGCTAAAGGGACTGCTTTAAGGAAAGAAAGGAAAAGAGAGAGACAGAGAAGAAAAAAACACAGGTATGAAAATGACAATGAATGAATATCTATCAATAATAACCTTAAACATAAATGGATGAAATGCTCCAATCAAAAGACATAGAATAGCTGAATGGATAAGAAAGCATGACCCACACATATGCTGCCTACAAGAGACACATATCAGGACAAAGACCTACACAGATTGACAGTGAAAGGCTGGAAACAAATTTTCCAAGCAAATGAACAGGAAAAAAAAAAAGCCGGGGTAGCAATACTCATATCAGACAAAATAGACTTCCAAAAAAGAACCATAAAGAGAAACCCAGGAGGTCACTTCATAATACTCAAGGGAAGAATTCACCAAGAACACATAAACATTGTAAATATATAGGCACCCTATGTAGGAGCACCCAAATATATAAAGAAAATCTTAGATAACTTCAAGAAAGATATTGACAACAACACAATTATAGTAGGGGATTTTAACACCCCATTGTCAAAAATAAACAGATTTTCCAAACAAAATATCAACAAAGATATTGTGGCCTTGAACAATGCCCTAGATGAAATTGATTAACTGACATATATAGAGAGCCTTTCATCCCAAAGAAGCTAAATACACATTCTTTTCAAATGCACATGGAACATTCTCAAAGACAGACCACATGATAGGACACAAAACGAGCCTCAAAAAATTCAAGAAAATTGAAATCATACCAAGCATTTTATCTGATCACAAGGGACTGAAACTGGAAAACAACCCTAAAGGAAAAAAACCCAAAGCACCCAAAATCATGGAGACTGAATGATATGCTATTAAACAACAAATAGGTCAAGAATGAAATTAGGGAGGAAATCAAAAAAGTTTCTGTAAACAAATGAAAACGATCTCACAACAACCCAAAACTTATGGGACACAGTGAAGGCAGTCCTGAGAGGGAAGTTTATAGCAATACAGGCCTACCTAAAGAAGATAGAAGCATTTCAAACAACCTTACTCTACGCCTGCAAGAACTCGAGGAACAACAAAGACAGGCCAGAGCAAGTAGAAGGAAGGAAATAACCAAGATCAGAGCAGAACTAAATGACATAGAGACTAAAAGCACAATTCTAAGGATCAATGAATCCAGGAGTTGGTTCTTTGAAAAGATAAACAAAATAGACAAGCCTTTAAGTAGGCTTATCAAGAAAAGAAGAGAGAAGACTCAAATAAACACAATCAGAAATGAAATAGGAGAGATTACAACTGATACCACAGAAATAGAAGGGATTGTAAGAAATTACTATGAAGAACTGTATGCCAAGAAATTTGAGAACCTAGGGGAAATGGACACATTTCTAGAAAAATATAATCTCCCAAAAGTCAATGAAAAAGAAGTAGAAAACCTGAATAGACCAATAACAGCAAAAGAAATTGAAGCAATAATCAAAAAAAAAAACCCATCACACAAAAGCCCTGGACCAGATGGTTTCACAGGAGAATTCTACAAAGCATTTAAGGAAGAGCTAACTCCCATTCTTCACAGACTATTCCAAAAAATCCAGAAGGATGGAAAACTCCCAAACTTTTTTTATGAAACCAGCATCATCCTAATTCCAAAACCAGACAGAGATACAACAAAGAAAGAAAATTTCAGGCCAATATCATTGATGAACATAGATGCTAAAATCCTCAGCAAATACTGGCAAACCACATCCAACAATGCATTAAAAAGATCATATACCATGACCAAGTGGGATTCATCCCAGGGATGCAAGGGTGTCTCCACATATGCAAATCAATAAATGTAATACACCATA